AAAATAAACCTGACCTCTCTGGGACATTCAGAAGCCAAGTTATAAGCCCACAAAGGTGTAACTGGACTACTTCTTTAAAGTGACACCAGGCCCGGTGACCTTTGGGACATGGTTTGACCCCCTATAGGAATGTGCGATCATCATGAAATATTCAAATCACTTACAATTCAATAGATTCTACCTTCTTGTAACGTTTCAGCTTGATTGGACATTGTTTTCACACAAAAGAACCCAGAATGATGTGAAATTGTGTTTCGTGCAACATAATTCTGGGTGCCATTTAAAAACCATAAGTGCTAATGACTCCATTCCTTTTTGGGGTAATGGGGGCTGTTAATTGGAGTACTCTAAAACAAACCTGACCTCTCTAGGATATTCAAAAGCCAAGTTATAAGCCCACAAAGGTGCAACTGGAATACTTCTTTAAAGTGACACCAGGCCCGGTGACCTTTGGGACATGGTTTGACCCCCTATAGGAATGTGCGATCATCATGAAACGTTCAGATCACTTATAACTCAAAAGATTCTACCTTCTTGTAACTTTTCAGCCTGACTGGACCTTGTTTTCACACAAATGGACCCAGAATGAAGTGAAACTGTGCTTCGTGCAACATAATTCTGGGTGCCATTTACAAACCATAAGTGCTAATGACTCCATTCCTATTTGTGGTTGTAGGGGCTGTTGATTGGAGTATACTAAAACAAACCTGATTGCTCTAGGACATTCAGAAGCCAAGTTATAAGCCCACAAATGTGTAACTGGACTACTTCTTTAAATTGACACCAGATCCGGTGACCTTTGGGACATGGTTTGACCCCCTTACGAAAGTGCTATCATCATGAAACTTTCAGATCACTTACAACTCAATAGATTCTATCTTCCTGTAACGTTTCAGCCTGATTGGACATTGTTTTCACACAAATGAACCCAGAATGATGTGAAATTGTGCTTCGTGCAACATAATTCTGGGTGCCATTTAAAAAACATAAGTGCTAATGACTCCATTCCTTTTTGGGGTAATGGGGGCTGTTAACTGGAGTACTCTAAAACAAACCTGACCTCTCTAGGATATTCAAAAGCCAAGTTATAAGCCCACAAAGGTGCAACTGGACTACTTCTTTAAAGTGACACCAGGCCCGGTGACCTTTGGGACATGGTTTGACCCCCTATAGGAATGTGCGATCATCATGAAACGTTCAGATCACTTACAACTCAATAGATTCTACCTTCTTGTAACGTTTCAGCCTGATTGGACCTTGTTTTCACACAAATGGACCCAGAATGATGTGAAATTGTGCTTCGTGCAACATAATTCCGGGTGCCATTTACAAACCATAAGTGCTAATGACTCCATTCCTATTTGTGGTTTTAGGGGCTGTTCATTGGAGTACACTAAAACAAACCTGACCTCTCTGGGACATTCAGAAGCCAAGTTATAAGCCCACAAAGGTGTAACTGGACTACTTCTTTAAAGTGACACCAGGCCCGGTGACCTTTGGGACATAGTTTGACCCCCTATAGGAATGTGCGATCATCATGAAACGTTCAGATCACTTACAACTCAATAGATTCTACCTTCCTGTAACGTTTCAGCCATATTGGACCTTGTTTTCACACAAATGAACCCAGAATGATGTGAAATTGTACTTCGTGCAACATAATTCTGGGTGCCATTTAAAAACCATAAGTGCTAATGATTCCATTCCTTTTTGTGGTTGTAGGGGTTGTTGATTGGAGTACACTAAAACAAACCTGATCTCTCTAGGACATTCAGAAGCCAAGTTATAAGCCCACAAATGTGTAAGTGGACTACTTCTTTAAATTGACACCAGATCCGGTGACCTTTGGGACATGGTTTGACCCCCTTAGGAAAGTGCTATCATCATGAAACGTTCAGATCACTTACAATTCAATAGATTCTACGTTCCTGTAACGTTTCAGTCTGATTGGACCTTGTTTTCACACAAATGAACCCAGAATGATGTGAAATTGTGCTTCGTGCAACATAATTCTGGGTGCCATTTAAAAACCATAAGTGCTAATGACTCCATTCCTTTTTGTGGTTGTAGGGGCTGTTGATTGGAGTACACTAAAACAAACCTCATCTCTCTAGGACATTCAGAAGCCAAGTTGTAAGCCCACAAATGTGTAACTGGACTACTTCTTTAAATTGACATCAGATCAGGGGACCTTTGGGACATGGTTTGACCCCCTTAGGAAACTGCTATCATCATGAAACTTTCAGATCACTTACAACTCAATAGATTCTATCTTCCTGTAACGTTTCAGCCTGATTGGACATTGTTTTCACACAAATGAACCCAGAATGATGTGAAAATGTGCTTCGTGCAACATAATTCTGGGTGCCATTTAAAAACCATAAGTGCTAATGACTCCATTCCTTTTTGGGGTAATGGGGGCTGTTAATTGGAGTACTCTAAAACAAACCTGACCTCTCTAGGATATTCAAAAGCCAAGTTATAAGCCCACAAAGGTGCAACTGGACTACTTCTTTAAAGTGACACCAGGCCCGGTGACCTTTGGGACATGGTTTGACCCCCTATAGGAATGTGCGATCATCATGAAACGTTCAGATCACTTACAACTGAATAGATTCTACCTTCTTGTAGCGTTTCAGCCTGAATGGACCTTGTTTTCACACAAATGGACCTAGAATGATGTGAAATTGTGCTTCGTGCAACATAATTCTGGGTGCCATTTACAAACCATAAGTGCTAATGACTCCATTCCTTTTTGTGGTTGTAGGGGCTGTTGATTGGAGTACATTAAAACAAACCTGATCTCTCTAGGACATTCAGAAGCCAAGTTATAAGCCCACAAATGTGTAACTGGACTACTCTTTTAAATTGACACCAGATCCGGTGACCTTTGGGACATGGTTTGACCCCCTTAGGAAAGTGCGATCATCATGAAACGTTCAGATCCCTTACAACTCAATAGATTCTACCTTCCTGTAACGTTTCAGCCTGACTGGACATTGTTTTCACACAAATGAACCCAGAATGATGTGAAATTGTGCTTCGTGCAACATAATTCTGGGTGCCATTTAAAAACCATAAGTGCTAATGACTCCATTCCTTTTTGTGGTTGTAGGGGCTGTTGATTGGAGTACACTAAAACAAACCTGATCTCTCTAGGACATTCAGAAGCCAAGTTATAAGCCCACAAATGTGTAACTGGACTACTTCTTTAAATTGACACCTGATCCGGTGACCTCTGGGACATGGTTTGACCCCCTTAGGAAAGTGCTATCATCATGAAACGTTCGGATCACTTACAACTCAATAGATTCTACCTTCCTGTAACGTTTCAGCCTGAATGGACCTTGTTTTCACACAAATGAACCCAGAAAGATGTGAAATTGTGCTTCGTGCAACATAATTCTGGGTGCCATTTAAAAACCATAAGTGCTAATGACTCCATTCCTTTTTGGGGTAATGGGGGCTGTTAATTGGAGTACTCTAAAACAAACCTGACCTCTCTAGGATATTCAGAAGCCAAGTTATCAGCCCACAAAGGTGTAACTGGACTACTTCTTTAAAGTGACACCAGGCTCGGTGACCTTTGGGACATGGTTTGACCCCCTATAGGAATGTGCGATCATCATGAAACGTTCAGATCACTTACAACTCAATAGATTCTACCTTCTTGTAAACTTTCAGCCTGATTGGACCTTGTTTTCACACAAATGGACCCAGAATGATGCAAAATTGTGCTTCATGCAACATAATTCTGGGTGCCATTTAAAAACCATAAGTGAAAATGACTCCATTCCTTTTTGGGGTAATGGGGGCTGTTAATTGGAGTACTCTAAAACATACCTGACCTCTCTAGGATATTCAGAAGCCAAGTTATATGCCCACAAAGGTGTAACTGGACTATTTCTTTAAAGTGACACCAGGCCCGGTGACCTTTGGGACATGGTTTGACCCCTTATAGGAATGTGCGATCATCATGAAACGTTCAGATCACTTACAACTCAATAGATTCTACCTTCTTGTAACGTTTCAGCCTGATTGGACCTTGTTTTCACACAAATGGACCCAGAATGATGTGAAATTGTGCTTCGTGCAACATAATTCTGGGTGCCATTTACAAACCATAAGTGTTAATGACTCCATTCCTTTTTGTGGTTGTAGGGTCTGTTGATTGGAGTACACTAAAACAAACCTGATCTCTCTAGGACATTCAGAAGCCAAGTTATAAGCCCACAAATGTGTAACTGGACTACTTCTTTAAATTGACACCAGATCCAGTGACCTTTGGGACATGGTTTGACCCCCTTAGGAAAGTGCTATCTTCATGAAACGTTCAGATCACTTACAACTCAATAGATTCTACCTTTCTGTAACGTTTCTGCCTGATTGGACCTTGTTTTCACACAAATGAACCCAGAATGATGTGAAATTGTGCTTCGTGCAACATAATTCTGGGTGCCATTTAAAAACCATAAGTGCTAATGACTCCATTCCTTTTTGGGGTAATAGGGGCTGTTAATTGGAGTACTCTAAAACAAACCTGACCTCTCTAGGATATTCAGAAGCCAAGTTATAAGCCCACAAAATGTGTAACTGGACTACTTCTTTAAAGTGACACCAGGCCCGGTGACCTTTGGGACATGGTTTGACCCCCTATAGGAATGTGCGATCATCATGAAACGTTCAGATCACTTACAACTCAATAGATTCTACCTTCTTGTAACGTTTCAGCCTGATTGGACCTTGTTTTCACACAAATGAACCCAGAATGATGTGAAATTGTGCTTCGTGCAACATAATTCTGGGTGCCATTTAAAAACCGTAAGTGCTAATGACTCCATTCCTTTTTGTGGTTGTAGGGGCTGTTGATTGGAGTACACTAAAACAAACCTGATCTCTCTAGGACATTCAGAAGCCAAGTTATAAGCCCACAAATGTGTAACTGGACTACTTCTTTAAATTGACACCAGATCCGGTGACCTTTGGGACATGGTTTGACCCCCTTAGGAAAGTGCTTACAACTCAATAGATTCTGCCTTCCTGTAACGTTTCAGCCTGATTGGACCTTGTTTTCACACAAATGAACCCAGAATGATGTGAAATTGTGCTTCGTGCAACATAATTCTGGGTGCCATTTAAAAACCATAAGTGCTAATGACTCCATTCCTTTTTGTGGTTGTAGGGGCTGTTGATTGGAGTACACTAAAACAAACCTGACCTCTCTAGGATATTCAAAAGCCAAGTTATAAGCCCACTAGGGATGGGTACCTTTCACATTTGAATCGATCCGGTACCGATACCCGGTACTTACGAATCGATACCGGTACCTAACGATACCAGTTTTCGATACTTTTTTGTGTTTAATAATTAAAAACTATTTTTCACTCAAATATTTATTTTCAATATATAACATTATGTTACAGAATTATAACAATATAGCATAAAACTCTCTACATTCTTACATATGTTTAACAAACTAGAATATTCCTCTCTGGACAACTTGTATAATAGAGGGGTATACAAATGGAAAAAACTGAAGTAAACATCTTTGCTTTGAACTACTTGAACATGACCTACTTAACAGTGTGTATATTCAGTCCTTTAGCCATTCTTTTTAAGGAAAACTAACATGTCCACTTTCTCAGGCAAGAGTCGAGCCCGCTCAACACTGACTGTATCCCCTGCTGTGGAGAAAACTCGCTCTGAAGGAGTGGAAGAGGCTTGAACACAAAGATATTTTTTGGCCAAGCTGGCCAACATAGGAATCTGGTCTCTCTTTTGCCACCACCACAAGAGGGGGTGCACAGAGCTGAGGACTGCTGGAAATCTCTGATACATGAGCACCTCGTTCCTGGCCTTTTCGGCTAATGAAGGTGCTTGGATGTCTATCTCTCTCTGGAGTAACACTTCCTGGTCCTCATCCTGAAATAGCTCCCCAAGGGCTGACAGCTTTTTCTTTCTTTTCTCAGGAGCTTCTGGCATTTCTTCTCCCTCAGATACTTCCTCCCCTTCCTGCTGCTCCTTTCTTCCTTTCCCCTCCTGCTGGGTCACCTCTCCAATCTTTAAATAAAGCATACACAGAACAAATAATTAAAAAATGTAATTATATGATCATACTGAAACAGAGTGCATATGCCCAGCTGTGGTCCACATTACAATTATGATTAACAAACCTTGTCTCCAGCGAACAGGGCTACAGCTTCATTTTCTAGGCGGGTCCAAACAGCCTCATCCTGAATCTTGCCTTTAAAACGAGGATCTAGAGCAGTAGCCTCCTCAAGGAACAGTCTTAGCTCTTTGTTTCCTCCTAGCAACATTGAACAAGAGCAGTTGGACAATACATTTTAAGTATTTCATTACACCATTTCTTTAATTATTAATTTAAAGAATCAAATGAACTACATACTGTGTAACGAAGGGAGAGGTCTGCCCAGACCTTCTCCTTGATGGCTTTCTTGAAAGCAGAATCTTCATCATTCACCTCAAACTTGGCCCTGAGTTTGTCGAGGATGGGGAGGATCTGCCCCGCAGTGGCACTCCTATCAGCTGAAACTGCAAGTGTGGATGTGTAAAGGACCCTCATGGTGTCCACAAAGTCCTCACACTTGCTCATGTCAACATCTGACACTCTCAGCAATCTGGAAATAATATCTCAAAATTATTCAGAATGTTTTTTGTCAGCAAAAGAGAATTCACTCCATCAGAAGTTTTTGAAACTCGAGTTTTTATTACCTGTCTCTGTCCATATCCTTCTTGATTCTTGGGTCCCTTGAAGCAGCCTGGATGGCGGGGTACTGTTCGATAAACCTCTCCACCATCAGAAAGAGGCTGTTCCATCTGGTTCTCACATCAAGGATGAGGGAATGCTCATCTAGGCCTTCAATAAAACAGAGAACAATTGTCTAAATTTAAAATTCTTAATATTAATGATGTAGAACGTGGCAGAAATGTTTAAAATCAGTAGCAGCTCTCAAATATACAAATAACATCCTGTGTATGTTTAATAACCTCTGACCTACCTAGAAGTTTCTGCTTCTCTTTCAGTACAGGCTTGGCAAGACTATTTCTTCTTAGCCATAACACAACAGGTCTTATCCTCCCTGACCAGTTGGCAATGCTTGTCAAACTGTACAGCTTTTGGGCTGCTATGTTGAGGGTATGAGCAAAGCAACCCATCTTCATGACCTTCATTTTTTGGATGGCTACATCCATGTTGGCAGCGTTATCAACTGCTACCACCTTAGACTTCACCTCAAATTCATCTAGGATGCTGTCAATTTCCTCTGCAACAGCAGATCCTGTTTGAGAGACATATACTGCTCTTGTATGTAGGACCTTTTCTCTCAGCTCTGCATCCACTACATAATGAACAGTAACTGTGATGTAGTGATCTTGAGCCACACTGCTCCAAGCATCAGCGGTGACTGCAACATGGTCCGCTGCTTTCAGCTCCTGCTTCACATTAACTTTCTCAACATTATACCATGCTGGTATCAATGTGTTGCAAAGCTCCTGTCTGTTGGGGGGGGGGGGGGGGGGGGTTGTACTTTGGATTGAGGGCCCTTGTCATCTCCCTATTACACACAACAACAACACACAAAGATAAATAATCTGTTTTATCTCCATCTCAGTCCATTACACTCACACTGTCACATAATATCAGCAATAATATACCTAAACCAGGACGAGCCCACAGTTGTAAAAGGCAACATTCCTTTCACAACAAAAGCAGTTACAGCTCTGTGACACTCATCTGTTCTCTGGCGGGTAAAGGCTGTCTCCTTAGCTTTTGTGAAGGGAGTCACCATTGCAGCTTTAACTCTTACTGCTGGTCCTGCACATAAAAAACATTAATGTTACAGAAATACGGGGAAATTAGCTGACAGCAATGTTAATGGAAGCTAAAATGGCAAGCTAACGTTATAATTACACAGTTTATTTACCTGCTGCAGCTGATGAAGACGATGATGCCTCACTTGAATCGTTGTCGCTGTTGTCACCACCCGCTGCTGAAGCCGTTTCACCAGTGTCGCTCGCTGGGGAAGGTGCAGATGTGACGTCGATGTGTGCAGGCCTAGCTAAGCTATCAAATGTTGTGCATTCTTCGGCATTGAGGAAGATTTTGTGTTTCACAAGGTGCTTCTTCAAATTCGACGTGTTACCACCGGTTGCTTTGTAGTTCATATCACACAAGTTGCAGCGGGCATAATCTCCATTGTCGCCGCATTTATTGAAGTAAAGCCAGACTTTGGAGCGCTTTCTATCCGCCATGGTGTTCGCTCACTAGCTCGCCTCGCTCTGTCTGGAAGGCTCGCTCACACAGCGTCTGACGTCATTACGCA